CACGGGGAGTCCAGGTGAGCGCTGGCACGGCCCCTTGCCCAGCACCCTGTGGCGCGGCCTGCAGCGCTGCCGCACGGCCCCTGCCTGCCTGCCTGCCTGCCCCTTGTGCCGGCAGAGCGGGGCGCCGGGCTGCCGCCGCCGCCACTGCCTCCTGCCGAGGTCCTGGCTGCGCTCTCCCCCTCGCCTCTGCATTTCCGTACTCCGGGTCCTGGCCCCACCGCGGCCGGGACCTCCTGGTCAGCCTCCTCCGGGCGCTGGTGAAGTTGGCCTGCCCCTGCCCAGGAAGGAGGCTGTGGCCGGGAGGTCGCCGGGGCGCAGTCCTTGCGGGGCGCGGCGCGGCTCCTGTCTGCGGGCAGCGTCACTGCGCCGTGTCCGCTGGCTCCTTGGGTGCTGTCGGGGGGTGGGGCGCCGTCTGCAGTGCACCTCTTGGTGTCCCCCGTGTTGCACTCGTTTTGTACCTTTCCCTTTTACTCCTGTCCCTGTTTAGTTGTCCCCACTAACCACTTGATCTGTACCTAGGACCTATCCATTTCAAGACAGTTCAAGGAGCCCTGAAATGATTGCCTTCTTTTATGGCTGCAATTAGAGGCATAAGGTGCTCTAAGAAACAGCATAGCAAACATTCATTAGTTAGAGATGCAGTGTCAACTTTCTGTAGTTAGGCATGTTTATTGGGTCCCTCTAAATCGGGGAGGGCTGGATGCAGCCCACCAAGCCATTCTAATCCGCCTGCAGTAGTAGATAAATTACTATTTATCTGCCCCTGGCTGCCTGTCATGTGGCCCTCAATGGCTTGCCAAAACTCAGTAAGTGGCCCTCTGCCCAAAATAATTGCCTGCCCCTGCTCTAAATCCATACTCCAGGTAAGTGATGATTTCCTTTCCCCTGCCCTCCCCTTTTATTTTTTCAGGTTCAGTTCTGAGCCTGTGTATTTAAATAGGGAATGATCTGAGGCTTGGCATGGTATCCAAGGTGGGTCTTCTTTTCTTTTGTTTAAATAAGTAGTAAGTTAAATTGCTAGTCCATAATATCTACCACACCTGTTCTTTGTCTAGAGGAAGGTTTCTGCATTTCCGTGGTGAAATAAAAGCTAAGAGCTGACACTTGCTTAGGTGTGCCTTAAGTCTAACGAGGGGTGCCTTGAGCTTAAAAAGGTAAAGAACCTGTTTAAACGCACTGTCAGATCGGGCACTGATTCAGCTTCAAGTGAAGATCTAGTGCCTTTGGAATAATTTCAGTGCTGTCAACCATCTTTCAACACTTGTGGTGCTGATATAAAAAGATTCTTCTGGTACTGACTCAGTACTGTAATCCATGGTGCAGAAACTGCCGGTATTAGCAACTTCTGTAGGGGTGTCCTTTGTTACTGACCAGATTTTTTAGTCTTTTCAGATGTCTGCCAAAATCCGTGTTGGAAACGGAACCTGGGAGACATCTAATTATTAAACTAACTTTCCAACTTCTGAGATTTTTGAGGAAAATGTTAGCTCTTCTTATATCTCCATATGTTTACACAGTTTTTTGAGGATATGGATCTCCACTTTAAGGGTTTTTTGGTTTTTAATGTCTGCTATTTAAGAGTCTTGCTTTCTTCAGTTACTTTTAGAGAAGACCCTTCTCTTCCGTCCTCACCCATATCATCTCTCAGTTGCTCTAGACCCAGAGATCACCCTGAAAGAGACTAAGCCAACTATGTGGATGAACCTATCTGCACCTTGATTTTGGGGTTCTTAAGTGCCGTTTCTGTTTCACTTTGCCCACTTCAGTTGGAGCATTTTTAGTGTATTGCTATGTTTATGACCATTTAATGAAAGGATAACACTTGGACCCTGCAAATCCTCATGCCACAAGCCAAAAAGGTAGACCTCGCCACCCTCCTCAGCTTCTTATAGCTCATGGCTGTGAGTTGGAAGTCTCCATTTGCTTTTAGCCCGTTGTTTGCTTTCAAGAAGTTTTCCCTTAATCTTCTGTAAACAGTAATTTAGGTACTGTTAGTCTTAGGTGGGTAATGTTCCTGTTCCTGGAACAAACATTCATTCTATATTTTATCAAAAACTGAGGTGGCTTTGACAATAGCTATGTTGGCAGAAATTCTCAGTCTGTAGTTACCAGCTTCCCAGGGTGCTATACCCACGAGTGGTCCCTCTACTATGTAGGCCAGACCAAGGCACATCAGGCATCAGAGAGAGAAAAAGAACTTTTTATTCTTCACTTTCTTTTAAGAAAAAGACACAGAAGTCTGAGAAGGGGAGGTTAAGGTTGGCTAAACAATTAATGCATTGACCAGAATACTTGCGCTGATGAGCAAACTATTCACATCTAGGAGAGATCCTTTTATTATAGTTCTATTACCAGAAACGGAAAAGTCTTGCTTTGAGAAGTTGTTTTCACTTCATAGTCATATAGTCCCTGAGCTTGAAGAACAAAAGCCTGTATTGAGACTGCCACCTGCCTACACAAATGAACCTGTCCTACACAGCCCTATTTTCAGGACTGATTAGAAACTAATTGTCAGGGGAAAAGTAAACACTACAGTAATTATGAAATGCAAACACAAAATAAATTAAAATGTTATACAGTTTTCCATCCAATCTGTGCAAACTAAGGACTCGCCAAGTGCTGTAGATCCTTGGGAAAATAAGTTCGACTCTGCCTTTAGACATTAGAAAAGTGTTAGTTGCATGGTCCTTTTAAAACAGACCTGGCAAATTTCAAATTATATTCTTCTACAAACTATTATGGAATAATCTAACAGTGCACAATAAGCATTCTGAAATAAGATTCTAATCGATAGAGCATTTTGCAGATCTATTCTCAGGCACGTTAAAATGTAAATTCTGTTGTAATCTCTGTCATCATGGTGTTACTGCTCTGCCTTATACTGTGGTGTCACAGTAAGGTCTGGTGGAAGAGATAATGGTAAAAGTTGAGCCCATATTCTTTAAGGGTATTTTTTATATTTTCTTAGTTAGGAGCTGACTTGTATTCTAATTGTTCTAGTAAACTTTTGTATAGTGGGATAGGCTTGGAAATTGGTACTCAGTGACAGAGTTTTGAGGGGGGAAACCCCCTTTGGATTTTGAAATTAGTTTAGCCCCTTCAGGCTGTATTTGTCTACATGCAGTGTTTTGATTTTCTTAAGAATAGCTCATTAAAAAGAATAGGTCACTTCATGCCTTTGCAATCCCAGTGCTGCAGATGGTTGTGGGGTTTATCCCTTCAAATATATGTCCTACTAACCTAGGTCATCTGACCTGCTGCCTTTTGCCCTGGCTCTGGCTGAGGCTGTGGGTCTTCCTGTGGCAGCAGGCAGCTCTTGGGAAGAACAGTACAATGAGTAGAAGCCCTGCCACTTTGTCCACAGCCAAGATAAAAGACTTGGATCAGTGGGCTCTGGCTGCAGCGGTGGAACTTCTGACTGTTGTTGTGCTGGACCTGCCCACGCCCCCAGCTCTCACTGGAACATTGGCTGCCACCACAGAAAGATGCAGAGCCTTGGCTCTGGCTGTAGTGGCTGGACATGCCTGTGATGCTGCTGGGCTGCCACTGCCCCAGCTTTTACTGGGACGTGTGCTGTTACTATAGGAACTTGCGGTCCTGCTTGGGTTGTCAACACCTGGCTGCTGCTGTAGTGCTGGCTGCCTCTGTGAGAAGTCCCACCACCTTGCCCAAGCCTTGGCTCTGGGTGCAGTGTGGGGGCTTCTGCCCAGAGTGCTGGTTTAGCTGCCTGCACCTCTACAAAAGATGGGGATCTGGCTGCCTTCATGAAAAGCCCTGCTGCTGTGGTGGCAAGAGTTTGTGCCCACAGTGTTGCCTGGGTTGCCATCACCTCAGCTTATACCAGTGTACTGTCTGCCACTGCAGGCAGCCTGGCCACTGCACCCAGAGCTGGGGTTCTATCCCCAGTGGGGGTGCTTTGTCTGCAGTGCTGCTGGGACTGCTGGCACCCTGGGTCTTCCTGGGGCATATCACCATGAGAAGTTATCACTATAGGCTATCACCATGCTCTTACTGCAGTGGCACAAGTTCATGTATACATGCTGTGTGTGCTGGCCACAGTGGCTCAGGGTCACATACACACAGTGCATGTCCCCGCAGGGTCGGTCCATCCGTCCGTCCTTTTGTCACAGGAAGCCCTATCACTGGTGGGAGAACTAAGAATGCCAGTGCCAGAGCCAAGGCGCAGGCCCTGGGCAGCTGAAAAGGAGAGTGTGGCTCTCCAACTAATTTGGGTTTGATACCCACTATTGTACACTGATCATGACACAGATGTGCATAGGTTTAAGTACTCCTTCACTCTTTCTGAATCCGTCCATATCTCATCACATCCTATTGGTCTTTATATTCTTTTATACAGAGATCTAACCAGTGTTGTTAGGTCCAGGGAAAGGCAGATGTTGTAGCTGAGTAGTAATGAGATTTTTTTTTTTTTAAATAATTGCCTTTTGTTTCTCTTAGTACTACCAACCACATCCAACCCCCCCCCCCCCCAAAAAAACCACACCCCCCCCCCCCCCCCCCCCAAAAAAAACCCCAAACCCCAAGGGAATTGACTACAAAAATGTATTACAGTTAAAGTTGATCAGTAGGTAGTACCTTGCGTCCTTCCAAAGTGTTTAACGCACCTGTTCTCAAAGGTTTAAAAATTGGTAGAGGAGTACTGCAAATCTTCACAGCAAGAATAAACAGTTGTGGTTTCAAACCTACATAATTCAGCACAGAAATTAGGAGTCTCTATCTTAGCCGCTGGGGGCACGTGTCATTTATACACTGAAATATATACATATAAATGAGAATCTGTAAGATAGAGCACACTACAAAAAATAACAGAGCTACTTGGTCATTACTCAAGCTTGCTTATTATAAGCCAGTCCCAGTTGAAATATACAGTTTACCCTTGGTAGCTGTTAACTTTGTGTTCTGATATTCTGAACCTTAAATACAGATAGTTACATTCAGCATTCTTCAGGAATAGGAAGCATTGGTGATCAACCTTTACATCATTTTTTGTTTTTGTTAAAAGGTGGGCCATGAATATAGATAGTTTGTGTTGCTTGCTTATGTCTCTTTGGATTAATTTTTTATATTACTTCAAGAGAAATAATCACAAATATTTAAACAAAAAATTACAGGTAGGGTTTTAGTGTTATTACTAGGTAATCTTGACAATAAAGAAAGTTGTTAAGGTTTTTATTAATTCTTCTGAAAAATGTATGCTGTAATCTAGACACTTTTTTTTTTTTTTTCTTTTTATTGTTTCTCTCCCTGAAGACAAGGAAGACTAAATTGTTATATGCTGTAATTTGTGAATGACATAGTTACCTTTTTAAGATTGTTTTCTATTGCTGTTAAGTAAGTATCCTGGAATGATTTACTTATTTGGAACAAATGGAAGGGAGGACTCCAGTGTCTATTTATGCTTATCATCTTTGTCCTTATTTCTGTGTGATCTACAATATCGTTAGGGGTGTGCCGATAGAGATTTTTGGGGCCAATACCCATATCCAATTTTTAAGGAGGCATATCGGATGGAAGTGTGGCTCATGGGGGGAGGGGCTCTTTTCACCAGGCCTGGGCTTGGGGTAGGAGTTATGGAGGGGGCCACCCCAAATTTTACTGTAGTCCTGCTCCCAGTGCTGCTGCGTCCCTGGTGCAGCCCTGGCTCTTCCCAGTTCAACCCCCAACGCCTCATAGGTGGGGCGTGAGGCAGAGGCATGGCTTGTTGGGAGGGGCGGCTTCTTTCCAGTGCTGCTGTGCAGCCTCAGCTCTTCCTGGCACATGGGTGGAGGCAGGGGTTGAGCTAGGAAGAGCAACAGCACTGGGAGTGGGACTACAGCAGACCTTGTGGTGGCTGCAGCCCCCTCCATAGCCCCCGCTCTAAACCCAGCTCCCGGTGAGAAGAGCCTGGCTCCAGCCTGCAGCTGCATCCTGCCCACTCGCCCCATGCAGATCCGGAGGGCACACACCCACCCCACCCTCCCGGCACACAAGCAGCAGCAGGAGCTGCCCCTTCCCTGCACCTGGCAAGCCATGCTGCAGTCCTGCACTCTGCCCCTTCCCTCACCGCAGGGAGTGTTGATCTGCCCCAAGCCCCTTCCCTCCCTCTTCCCCTTCCACCACAACAGACTTACCAGCTGGAGGCAGCTCTCCACACTGCCTGAGTGCTGTGCTGTGGCCAAATTATCAGTCAAATTGTCAACCCCGTTGGGCCATTTTCTGATGCAGCCAGTTTTCTTTATATCAGTACCAATCTGATATCCAACTAGTGAACCTCTAAATGTTATTATTCTTTATGTCATTTTTAGTACCTTTTAAAGGCTGTTCTGTGAAAGACATTGGAAAGATGCTTAGGATAGTTGTGTAATCTCCCTCAAGAGATTGGGGATTTTCAAGAAAAGGCTGGATAACCATACACTTATGGTTTAAGGTAGGGGTGCTTCCAAGCTGCTGGCCAGATTTGGACCCTGGTACTGGATCATCCGGCCTGTGGGGCTCCCCATGGGCCTGTATGTTAGATCTGGAACACGGGACAGTCCGGGGTCCCAGAGTCCTGTCTCTACACGTGGGGGTGGCTCAGGGCTGGATGGGGGTGGTATGGTCTAGATCTAAACATGTGGGCCTGATCTTGGGGTGTAGAGTCCGATCCAGCTTGCAAACTGGGCCTGCAGTACTCATTTGTCCCTTAGGGCCAAAAGGTTGAGCACCACTGACTTAGTGATTCTCCGTCCCCAGAAGATATTGCCACCTCGTGTCCTTCTGTCAATTTTAGGACAGAGGTTTTAAACCTGTCCATTTTTTTCACTTCCTTCATTTAGAATCTCTCCCTTAGATTCTCTTCCCACTCCCCTCCAGTATTACCAGCTAGCATATTGATCAGACCATGATAGCAGTAAAACTTCAAAGGGATTGATACCTATAGGCTAAGTACAAACAGTCAAAAAGCCCAAGGCTGAGTTGATTCAGTCATTTCAGATTAGCCTAAGCTGCATAGATTGAACTGATAAGCAAGTGAACAGACATTTACTTTTGATTCTGGAAATGTAGCCACATGCAGCCCAGGCCAGAAGCTGGGGAGCGCTACAACATGGCTCCCTGCTTAGCTGGAGCAGGCAGTTTGGGCCAAGGCTAGCCCACCCACCCTGTGAGGAGGGAGGGTAGATGCAAAGCATCCTGGGATGCTGGGGGACTGAGTTCACTTAAATCTGGAGGGGAACTAGGACATAAGTTTAATAAACCGATTTAGCCTAAATAAGATAAGTCTAATACTACATTGATCCAGGTTTATCTTAAACCAGTTTCAGCTGTTTTGTAAACAACTCTTGTGCACTGAACTTCTGTTGTATTACAGATTTGAACTGGTTTTCCATCATTTATACTAGTTTGTGTATAATTTTTGTCCCTAGCCATAGTATTTAAATACAAGTTAGTGAATTATCTGAAGTCAGTGATCTCATTTTCTGCAGATGTACAAACATAGATTTCATAGATGTTTAGGGTTGGAAGGGACCTTAGTAGGTCATCGAGTCCAACACCCTGCTCTGGGCAGGAAAGAGCGCTGGGGTCAGGTGACCCCAGCCAGATGCTTGTCCAGTCTCCTCTTAAAGACCTCCAAGGTTGGGGACAGCACCACCTCCCTTGGAAGCCCATTCCAGATTCTGGTAATCTTTACTGTAAAGAAGTTCTTCCTGATGTCTAATCTACATCTGCTCTCTGTCTGTTCGTGGCCATCGTTTCTAGTAACACCAAGGAGTGCCCTGGTAAAAGGAGCATCTCCTATTACTTGCTGTCACCTCCTGATGAATTTGTAGACAGCCACTAGATCTACTCTCAGCCTTCTCTTGCGCAGGCTGAAGAGATCCTCAGTTTCTTCTCGTAGGACCTCCAGGCCCCTAACAATCCAAGTGGCCCTCCTCTGGACCCTCTCCAGGTTTTCCACATCCTCTTGAAGTGCGGCGCCCAAAACTGAATGCAGTACTCCAGCTGTGGCCTTACCAATGCCGCATAGAGGGGAAGTATCACCTCCCGAGACCTGTTCATGATGCACCTGCTAATGCATAATAGAGTGTGGTTAGCTTTACTGATCACTTAGTCAGGTTAACAACTCATGTTCATTTTGGAATTGACTATGACTCCGAGATCCTTCTGCTGCTGTGCAGAAATTACTCAAGACTGACTTACTACTTAGATATGTTTCAACAAGCATCATAAAAAAACAGTTACGTAAGAATAGTAACAAAAGCATAGGTATCTACTGTGTTCTTCATGTGTGTACTGTCTGATTGCAGCTAAAATATAGGCTGTGAAACTAAGCTTGTCAAATGTGTTGTGGGAAAAATCAGTATTTTCATGCTGGTTGGTTTTTGAACCCTTGGTTTTTGCTTGTGTTAATTAAATGTTGTAATACTTGGCTTTGAAAACAGGAGTATTTTTCTTAGAACAACAATTCATTGTATTCCTCATTAGGCAGTGGATAACACTGTTGAGCTGAATCATCATCTTATTATGATTTCTTTGTCTTCTAATGCCAGAACCTCAAAAACTCTAATCATCTGCTAGATCACAGCGATTCTAAATTTTGTTTATAGGGAGAAAAGGGTTACCTCAATAGAGGGAATATAGAGAAGGTAGGGACTCATTGTTTTCCTGAAGAGAGAGACCACCTAGATCTGGTGCATTTCCACAAATGGAGCTGAGAGAATGAAAAATTCAGGCTGCAGCAGGGAGCTTGGGTGCTGCTGTGGGGGGAAGGGGGCTGTCAATCTGGGTCCCTGGCCCAATAGCTTTGGTAGCTGAGTGCTCACTCCAGCAGGGTTTCGGGAGAGGGGGCCACTAGCCAGCGCTGTGCTCAAGCCAGGGCTGTGCTCCAAGCGGCTTCACCACTGGCTGTCCCACCACCGATCTGTGCTCCATGGGGCTGGCAGAGCCACTTGGAGCACAACTATGGCTTTCCCCCACCTCCTGCCGTTTTGAAATGTTTTGAAACTTTTGAAGCATTTCAAGTACCCTTATTTAATTTCAAAGCTGTTTCGAGGCCTTTTGTTTCATTTTGATTTCACTGTTTTGAGCTTAAAGCGTGTCAAAACAGCTTCAAAACTAAACACCCGTTGAAATTTTGCACAGCCGAAAGACCCAGATGCAGCAGAACTGTGATGAGTTGAAGGCCCCCTGGACACTTGCAACATGATCTCCCAGTCTGAGACTACAGAGTGAAAAGAGGACCTTTCAGAAAAGAAGGGGGGAATTGAGTTATGTTATTTTGGACTTAAGCATGAAGTTGTGCAAAAAGTGATGTAAAATAAACGTGCATAGTGTGTGAGGAGGAAGATATTGGAAACTGTTCCTACTCAATATAACTGAAGCTAGGATAACTAAGGCCCTGTTTACAGGACATTTTTACAACAATGTTTGTCTAATTTTACCCAAAGTATTACTAAATATAGACAAGAATGTATGAAGTGAAGCACTGAAAAAAAACTTTAGGCAACCTTAATTATGTCATTTTCTAACTTTAATTTGAACCTATTAAATGTATTACACTGTTGCACTTCACATCTTATATTTTGAAATGTAGTGTACATTTATAGACTATTGTATGTTTATTAATGCCTTTTCATTTTTTGCAGGTGTTACCATTTCAAGAAATATTTTTGTAACCAATTCTATGCTAAGGACCGTCTTCAGTAGAGGCTTCTATAAGGGTGATACATTTCTAATATTAGAATGGCTGTCAGAATAAGACGACAGTTAAAGAGACTATTTTCCCACTGGAAACTTTGGAAGTTTAGCATTTTTATTTTTGTTTTTCTAATATGTTTATTCTTATTGCAAAGAGAAGTAGGTGTTCAAGACACTGAAAATGAACCAGGGATGAAGCCCATTGTGGGAAAGAAAAGTAATGTGCTGGACCTTGTCTTAAATGCTGTGAACAATATTAAAGCTGCAAACCCAAAAATGCAGATAAAGGCACCTGTTAGGCAAACCAAGATTCCTGGAGAGAGACATTGTTTACCAGGCTATTATACAGCAGCGGAACTGAAACCTTTCCTAGATCGACCTCCTCAGGACCCTCATGCTCCTGGAGCTTCTGGTAAAGCATTTAAAACTACCAATTTAAGTCTAGAAGAACAAAAAGAGAAAGAGCGTGGAGAAGAAAAACACTGCTTTAATGCATTCGCAAGCGACAGGATTTCTTTGCATCGGGACCTTGGCCCAGACACTCGACCTCCTGAGTACGTTGAAATCAATATGTTATGAGGCCTTGCATGTAGAGATCAGGCAGATTCAGAAAGTGATTCTGGCCATGTTTTAAATACACGGAGCAATAAAGAAATCCAGTGGCATCACGGAATAATGTAAAACAGGGCTGGAAGGGAGCTCAAGAAGTCCCATTCTTCAGCTAAATCAAAACAGTCAGGATAGGATGGGAAATCTCTCATTTATAAGTTGAGATTGAATTGGATATGGATTAATTGAAAACTTGTTAAAAAATCCTCATTTTTGGATTTAGACATTTTTAAGCAATAATCTAAAGAGTTTCTTTGATTGTATTTCTAACATTTAATTCTCTCAGACTTTTTTCCCCCTAAAATTCCCTTCTTTTAAAAAAAGGAAAAGAAAGAAAACAAAAACTTAGAATGTCAAATAGAATTTGTATTGGATTTTGGAATAATATTCTAGAAGGGAATGAAAAATATAACTTAATTGTACATTAACAAACGTTTTTTTCTTAATAAAGCAGGAACAGAGGTGGTTTTTTCAATTACTGAATTAGACAGCAAGATTAATGGGTTTAATAATTACCGAGAGAGAATAATTCTATCATTTCCCTGGAATCCTATATAACAGTGGTTCTCAAGCTTTTCAGAGTCAAGGCACCCTTTCTTCACTTTTTTTAAAGTGGTAGCACTCCTGGCTGCACCCTTCCACTTTTCCCATAAGCAGGACTGCTGGGTAGAAGTCTTCCACACACCTCTTTCGGCGGGGGGAATGGGCTAGGAAGGGCTACAGCCTAAGCCAGTTCTATCTGTTTTAGGGTTAAGTATGTTAATGTAGCAGGAGCGTGTGCGTGTTGAAGCTCTCTGCACCTAGCAGTTTTTTTTACCAGGTCACCGATGAAGTAGCACTGTGGAACCCCAATTGAGAACCACCGCTATAGAAGTTTTACCAATGGAGCTGTAAGTTCTTTAAGCAGTCTGTATCTGTAATATAGAACTTGCATTCTCTGTTGGATGTGCTTTTACTGGTTGTAAATTTCCTGAGCTGCTGCTCTTAGCCTGTAAGAGTCAACATGCCATCTGCTATGCCTATTCAGACTGCAAAATCCATAGGCAGAGAGAGACTTACAGAATATGGAGGCTGAGCTCTGTAAGAGTTTTGAGTGTCTTATTAGTTGACATGATAATTTCAGTGTCCATAGATTCTAAAGGAAATAAATAGTAGGTACACTGGGATATAGTCTTGATCTCACAATGGATATGCTATATCTATGGTTCTTTTATTTTCTGGATAGTGTACTCTCCAGATCTTGGAAATTGTATAACTTTTTACATTTTTGAAATCCCTATGCAAAACTTTCTTGCCTTCTCAAAATTACAAACTTCTGTGGATGCGTCTGTAGAGATGTGAAGATCTTTGAAATTAGACTTATTTGTCTGTGTATGACTCACCGGGAGAGGCATGTACACTCTGCAGAGGTTTAGATATTTATAGAAATAAATAATCTATGTAAAAAAAAATCTTTGCCTTTAGGCTTTAGTAAGAAGAAATTAATAAAATGTGGGAATTCTCAGAGCTGTCCTTGAGGTTCAAGCTTAATTGTGTCAAACTTCTTGAAGTGCCCTGGAGATTTACTGTGACAGCTTGAAATGAGATGCTCATGTACATGAATTACAGCATATGGACCTTGGCAGTGATACTCGCAACGGTTTTGTGGAAAATGCACGTGGCCAAAGGAAAAAATTTTGAATGCTTGTTAGCTTTGTTTTTGGGTTTTTTCTTTTTCTTTAAGTACATAACTATAGTTACAAAGTAAATGTGTTCTTTGCATGGGTTCAGTCCTTGAAAGGGGGTTTTTCGTGTAACTACTAAAAAGAATTATTGTTATTCAGTATAACTATTAGTCTGTGCCCAAGAGGGTCCAGGAGTTGCAGAATGTCATGAAGAAACTTTCTTTGACTGAACTGTTGATGGGAGAAAAATCAACCTTAATTACCATAATAAATATTTATTTATTTAAATGACATTTGTAGAAGTTCAATGGGATGATGATGAGGCAGGAATACTCCCCTTGTCTGTGTCTCAAAATTGAATCGCACCAAGCTTAATACTGGCTATAATTTCTCCTCAGTTGATGTGTCTACTGGTCTGTATGTCATCCTTTATACCATTTACCCTAAGGGGTTGTCAACTGGGGGTACACGTATCCCCAGGGGTACTTGGAAACAGATAGAGGTACATACAGGTGGGTGGGGACGGAGCGCCACCACCCTGCACTGCCGTCTCCCAGGAAGTGTGTGTGTGTGTGTGTGTGTGTGTGTGTGTGTGTGTGTGTGTGTGTCGGGGGTGGAGGGGGGGAGTGAGGGCAGCAGCTCTCCTCTGCGGGCTGCATAGGTGCCACCTGGCTGGCCGGGGGGGACAGGAGCTTGCAGCTGCTACCACCATCCACCACCCTGTGCCGCTGTCACATGTAACACCCACCCCCACCCCTGCCTCCACATCCTGCCACCACCACCACCACCCCCTGTTCCACCAGAAGCGTACCCAAAAGGCGTACTCCTTAAAGGTTGAAAATCCCTTCCCTAACTAGTAAAATCTTCAAGAACAGCCCAGTTAGTGAATTACTGTAGATGCTAAAAAAGATTTTTCAACTATAAAGACCATTTCTCTACTAAAAAAAAATAATCTACAGAAAGGCTTAATTTAAAATACCATAGCTGGTGTACAAGTGATACCTTTAATTTTAAAACAAATTAGACACTGCTTTAATATCTAAAGTAATGTTTCAACATAAGGGAAGATTCCTTGCTGTTTATGCTTGTTGGGTGCCGTTATCTATATTATCTCTCTATTGGCTTGTTTTAAAGATGATGAGCATATATATTTAGCAGGTATATAGTCAAGAATGCTGGTTCAACAAGGAAAATGGGAAAATTAATTCTGAACGTGTGTGTGTGTGTGTGTGTGTGTATTTTTATGCTCCCTTCTCATTTGGAGAATTATGATCCTTGGATACCTTTTTTTCCAAATATGGGCCTCATGTATATGTCTGCCAAAGCTTTTGCTTTTGCTTCTGTTCCTGAGGTCCCTTACAACCCTAATTTTCTATGATTCTATTGTTCTATTCCTCCTGACTGCTTAATAGTTGCCATCCACTTCCTTTCTCTAAACAGTGGCAGAAAAAATTTGGGACTGCTGTTCACCCAGGAATTCCCATCCAGAATCGGGCCCCTTAACCCCCTGGACCAGCTGCCTGGCTTTCCCCTGGAAAAACTTGGGGTACTTCTCTCTAAGCAGGGAAAGTCAGGGGTCCCCTCTTATGAAGACCTGCCCCAGGATCTCCATGGGCATTCTCTGTAAGCAGGGAAAGCCCATATGGGTCTCACTGTGGAGGCACAGGATGGGAGGATTGTCCAGTGTCCCATGGTTTCATGCCAGGACTCACCCAGACCTGCCCTGGAGATTTCCAGGAGCCATCTGGTTAAGTGGGGAAGCCCCAACTTTTTTTGCTTACCCAGATGGTTCCCTAGAGATCCCAGCGGTGGATCTGGGCAGGCATAGAAACACAGACTTTCCCCGCTTACCTAGACATGTTCCCTTTGGGTGGTCTTGATCATATGTCTAAATATGGTAAAGATACTGGCTTCAGTGGCAAGTTGGAACAGTGAGTTCCACAGTCTATTGGTGCATTAGAAAAACAATTTCCTTTTATCACATTAATTTATTTCATTGTACTATTTATATATTGTTCCTTTTAGTACTGGAGTGCTCACATTCATATATACTCTGTAGTAGTAGTAATAATAACAACTGGTAGAAACTAGATGAGCCAAAATCTGGCCTGATGAATGCACAGGTCCCATTGACTTGCATGGAAGCTATATGGTTATGTATACAAGATCAGATAAGGACAGAAGCTGCTAACTGTTCAATCGAACTTTAGCTGTCCAGTTCCCCATACCTTACTACATAGAGATGCTATGCAACACATTCTATACCTTTGTGCTCCAAGGCTTGAATTATGATGGGAACCATAGAAGAAGAAAACATTAAATGCCAGTAACTAATGCATTTTAAATTGCAAAAAGAAAGAGGAAGGGGTGGTTAAATGTTTTGAATTGAAATTCTAGTTTTGTATACTGTATAACACTCAAAACCTTTCTAAATCTCTAGATGCATTGAGCAAAAGTTTAAGCGTTGCCCACCACTGCCTACCACAAGTATTATCATAGTTTTTCACAATGAAGCATGGTCTACTCTGCTAAGAACAGTTCACAGCGTGATGTATACTTCTCCTGCCATACTGCTAAAAGAAATTATTTTGGTGGATGATGCCAGTGTAGATGGTAAGACAAATCAGACTCTTAAAATTTATTTTTCTAAAGAATACTCTAGATTACATCTCAGAATAATCATTCAAAGAAATGTTGGTAATCATTAATTTTTAGAAAGGGGGGTAAATATTAGTCGTCATGTTGTTGTTGTTGTTGTTATTGAATGCATGTTTTACTTAAATTACCCTCATGCTAGATTTAAAAAAAAAAAAAACCAAAAAAACAACAACCAAAAACAAGGTTTTTCTCCATTTAGTGAGATCCAGTGTTTCTCTACCCATGGCTCCACTAATGCAGTTTTGAAAATTGTTTTTGAATATTTTGAAAATTGTTTAATGCTGTTTATATTTCAGTTTGTGTAGAATAAAATGTTCAAAGCTAAAACAAGTTACTACTCTCCATGGTTTTAGGTAGTGATTACAATACCTTTCAAGCATTTGTGCATGTGTCCAACTTTAGGCATGTGAATGTCCACTTGAAATGTTGGATAAGGGGGCAATACGAAAAGCACAACCTCCTTTCCCACAAAATATGGCATTTTAAATAACTGAATATTAAAATAAAAACTGCTGCTGCTTCTAAAACTTATTGTTTAAATAACCTCAAATGGATAATTGTATAATTGTTTTTATAAATATGTACATTTAAATGCAGAGGCATAATTCTGAACAAACATGTTCAAATTAATGTATCCAGGGTTATTTGATAGTTGAAATATCAGTGGCTTTGGAGATGAGATTTATTGAGTAGCAAAATTCATCATTAATAGAAAAGTAAGAAGATATAAAAAGCCAGAATTAAACCTGACAGATGGAAAAACTTAAAAGTTTTTGTCTACCTGTCTGTCTATGTAAAATTCTAATGGCAGTTAAACAGTGTAGTCATTAACAATCCTTTGTGCATGCAAAATGTGCTCATGTACTCATCAGTAAATGCAAAACCTTCTCTTATGGGCATCTTTGTGTATAATATGGGTAGTTAGGTTCACGGTTACTGTTTTTCTCACACAGAGGGGTTTAAATATGTGGGCTCCCAAAAACTTATGATTCTCTGATTTAGTCTATAAAGTGCATCTCTACCCTGCCTTATGTCTGAAGTAGTAGTCATTCCTGCTTTTGAGGTGAAATAATGTTTAAGTTTTGTTTCCATATTGTGGGATCGCTTAAAATTATTTTATTGACATTTTCAAAGACTTGTTGGCTTTTGCTTTATATTGTAGAATCTTCGATAATCCTTAAAACTGAATACAGTTTATGATAACTGTTACTCTTGCTGTCTGCCTGTGACAAAAATATATTTTAGGGTTGACCTAAATAAAATGGTATTCCTTGCTTTCCTCTATGTTTTAAGCATTGGGTTGGTGATTGTTAATTCCCCTTCAACCAGTCATAAGCAAAATGTGAATTCCTTTTAAACAAAACAGTATTTTATGTCTTTTACAAAGCTGTTGATAATCTTAGGCTAATCTGGAGCAGTAACATGTAGAAAAGTTATATCTTTTTTAAAAGGTATATTTACATATTTTAGCATGTAACATTTTCAGTAACAAAGTAATGTAAAATTAGGTGATTTGTAGCCAGTGTCATTTAAAGAATAGCAGGAATATCTACTTTTCTTTTCAGAATACTTGCATGATAAGCTAGACGAATATGTGAAACCATTTCAAATAGTTAAAGTAGTCAGACAAAAGGAAAGAAAAGGACTAATCACTGCAAGATTACTAGGAGCCTCAGTAGCAACAGGAGAGACTCTCACTTTTTTGGATGCACACTGTAAGTATATCAGTGCTAATCCTATGATGTCTACTATTGATTTTACCACAATTCCAGAGAATTCTAATGTGTACATTTTGTTCCCAATTCATTTTATTTTCTTCTTTCTTTCTGAAAATATTAAAAAATATTAGCTTTGCTAAAATACCCATTTTGTATTACTGAAACTAAGTCTACATAGTACAGGGCAGTGTCATGCAGAAATACTTCATTCATGTGCTAGCTCCAGACTTGAAAGCAAAATAATTGTTCAGATTTCCTTTGCTATCTCTGCTAGTGTGGTGTTGTATGCAAGTAGACAAATACAGTGCTGAACTAATGCATATATAGATTACCTTAAGTGGCTAGACAGAGTAAGGACTTGTCTACCTTGCCTGGAACCACAGGTGAGAAGCATGCCTTATTCACATTTATTTGGGGCCCTCCAAGTCCTGGAAATGGCACAGTATAGCTGCTTTGGGTCCATTCAACAAGTTTGATTTTAAGAAAATGTTCTCCCTTTTCTTCTGTAGGATTCAGTTCTACAAATTCTGAGCATATCTAAAATATCCTCTTGAATCCTACTTATTTTATAGAATGAATAAAACTTCAAGTCCTTAACTGATTTTTTTTTTCTTTTTTTTCTTTTTTTTTTTCTTCCTCCCCCCCCCCCCCCCCCCCCCCCGGGGACTTGTTTTTGCCTAGCAGTGTCTCATCACTGTGCAGTGCCCCCCCTTTCCCTGTAGGTGAATGCTTTTATGGCTGGTTAGAGCCATTGTTGTCAAGAATAGCTGAGAATTACACTGCTGTTGTAAGTCCTGATATTGCATCCATAGATCTCAATACTTTTGAGTTCAGCAAACCTTCTCCTTATGGACATAACCATAACAGAGGAAATTTTGACTGGAATTTGTCATTTGGATGGGAATCTCTTCCTAAACATGAGAAAAAAAGAAGAAAGGATGAAACTTATCCAATTAGGTAAATGGGAGGAACTTGAAGGATATTTGGAATTCTTTAAGTTGCAAATTATTTCCTAGAGAACTTCGGTTATCCATCTGATATTTAAAAAATTAGAAGTTCCAGATTTTACAAACAATTTTTAAATATAAGATTTCCTTCCCCCTACCCCCAATTTCCCATCATTGTTGCAAGAAGGAATCTCTTGCAGTGGAGGCCATTGAGGAGCATTCATGCAGGTAAACAATCAACAGAATTTAGCCAGTCATCTAGTTCTGAACAGTTAAAGAATGTGATAGATTGAATACAAGTGGCTATCATTCTCAAAAGTGGGGAGAAAACAAACAAAAAAATTTTGGGAGAGAACTGTTGTTTATACATACAGCTAAAGAACATGTCTGTATTTGGGAGATGTTATTTCAGAATGTGCCAGTGTACTTTAGTTAGCTTTAATTTAACTATTTTGAATGGCTGCTTGAATTAGTACTCAATGAGGGGTCCTGGGCTTCTACAGCCTGGTCTGAAGACCACACTACCCTGTCTTTACCAATTTAGTATTACTTCAGCTACTAAAAGCAAAGCAAGCTACATTGATTTGGCTCTGGATGCCAAAAATGAGGCCAGAATTAAAAAGCTAAGGATCAGCGAGAATATAGCAAATGTGGTAAGTGACTCCTTTCTTTTTGTGTTTTGGAAGTGTTTGAGGCATTACAACTGAATTTTGCAAAAAGAATTTCCATAAATGAAGGCATATTGCTTCCAAATTCTACAGCAGTTCTGGTGATGCGGACGGTCATGGCCAGACTTCAGTGCGGTTTCTACCATGGAATGTTAATCATAATGGCTGGCCTTCTCGGTATACTGGCCAAAACCCAGATACCTTTGTCTTTGTGCCTTGTCATTTCAGCTGGTTAACTCTGTGCTTGCTTGCCAAGGAAGTTATTAGCATAATTATACTAAGCCCTAAACTAATCTTAAGATCATTTAAATAAAGTTTAAATCCTGTTCAGTAAATTAATGATGGTGATTTTTTCTTTTTGCAGAACACCTACTTTTGCTGGAGGTCTTTTTTCAATATCAAAAGGCTATTTTGAATACATTGGAAGCTATGATGAAGAAATGGAAATATGGGGAGGTGAAAATATAGAAATGTCTTTCAGAGTAAGTTTAGAAAGATGAGATGTATAATCATTGCAAAGCTCCAGTAAATGTGTCCTCAAAAAATATCATATTTTAGTATTAGTTGTATGATAGCAGAGTTCAAGAACTAAAAGAGTATGAAAACTGAGCTACCTCTGCTGCAGTGGGAGTCCATTGCTCCTAGCTAGGGGTAGAAAATATAGCATAAATTACATGCTTGGTCACTGCAGTAATTTTCTAAAATGCATGCTTGAGTTGGGTATTCAAATTTTGGTTTCTAGCATTCGCCCAACTAAGAAATCCTATTTTGAAGGTACAACATAAGTTAGCACTTGTTGGGAACTCCTGAGCAGATTTTTTAAAAAAGGCTTAACATTAAAATTGCAAAATATATGTTGATTTTTGAGCTTTATAATACTTCTAACTACAGTGCACTTACACAAAATATATTATTATTAGGTATGGCAATGTGGTGGGCAGTTGGAGATCATGCCTTGCTCTGTTGTTGGCCATGTCTTTCGCAGCAAGAGTCCGCACACTTTTCCTAAAGGTACCCAAGTGATCATACGTAATCAGGTCCGCCTTGCAGAAGTCTGGATGGATGATTACAAAGAAATATTTTACCGAAGAAACACTGAAGCAGCAAAAATTGTGAAACAAGTAGGTGGTGGTGGTGGTATTAGAAATCACACTTGCTGCGTTGAAAGTTTTGGTGAGCAAAAGTTATTTATTGAAAAAAGTCTGTAAGAAGTCTAGATATCATAATCAAAAGTACTAAGCAGGTTGTGTTTGATATACTCAGTAATATCTGGAAGCGTGATGGCAACCCACATGAGAGATCCTTTTTTACTTTTCTCTTACGATCTATTACAATTTGCCAGGAGTTTACTTGTGTTTTAAATACCAATAGTGTGTGTGTGTGTGTGTGTGTGTGTGTGTGTATATGAATATCAAAAATATTGATTATGAAATCAAATAAGGCAAAAAATCATGTTTTTACTAGTGTCATAAGAAGTGGAATATTTAGCATGCTTTTGTCCTAAGTATTTTGTTTCCTCTGAGGTGGGTTTTGCAAGATTTTCATTTCACGACACAAAAAGAAAAGAAAATGACAGATATTTTTGCTCAATAAAAACTTAGAGGAAATCTGAAGTTAATGTGCATGTTATGAAAATGATGGAAACTAGTAAAGAGTTTCACCATTCAACATTTTGGTGAGGCTTTTTTAGCAACCAAATTATTTGTGAAGGGAAAGTTTGTAATATCCTTTTTTGTCTCTGACCACATTCATTTTCTAAACTATGCAAAGTTACAAGGCAGCAAATCAGACTGCTGAACTTTTGCCGTGAGAGAGGCCAAAAACACCCCTGCCAATATGTTCTTCAATTTTTTTGATAGTTTCCGCTTCAACACAATACACAGTAAAGCTTTAAGTTGGACTAATTTAATTACATGCATTTCTTTATTATTAATTCTGCTCTTTCAGCAATGTGTTAGGCATAAGATTGTGCACACATATAGCAACTTAGGCTGGTAGCTTTCTCTAAAGCCTATAGATAACACCCTTGGATCAGATCTCTGATGTAGCTCCATTAACTTTCTTGGATAAATTTGGTTCATTATTCATTTAACATTTCAGATTTTTATTGCAAACACAGCCGCCTTAGCTTACTTTTGCAAAGAGCCTAATAACTTTTTGTTGCAATGGACTTCTTGTATGATGTTAAGGTTCATTTAGATTCTCTGATCTTGATGTGTTGTTCATAGAATCTTAGGAAAGTAGGGCTGGAAGGGACCTCACAAAGTCATCTAGTCTAGCTCAAACCAGGATCATCCCTGACTCAGCTATCTCCACTAAGTGTCTGTCCAACCTGCTCTTGAAAATTTCCAAGGATGGAAATGCCACAACTTCTCTTGCTAGCCTGTTCCAATGCTTAACCACTCTCATGGTCAAAAGTTCCTCCTAATCTCCAAATGAAATTTCCTCTGCTACACCTTGAGTCCTTTGCTTCTAGTCCTGTCTAGTATACCCACAGAGAATAACCTATCTCCATCTTCTGTATAATTGCCCATCAGATATAGGTATTTGAAGACTATTGTGAAACTTCCTCTTCTCCTCCCCTGCCCTCCTTCCCCCCATCTTTTATTCTTCAGACTAATTAACCCTAGTTCTTTCAGCTTTTCCTAATGTTTCCCAGGCCTCTAATTATTTGGAGAAATATCTATTTTATAGTTTGAACTTGTTTCTGGTAACAAGAGTTAATAGCCAAAGTGGTTTGAAATGTATTTTTACTTGACTCTAGCACTATTTGCCAAATGGATGACTTGCCTCTTCCATGTTAAGTGCATAGGTCCAGACGCTCAAAGGTGTTTTAGATGCCTAATTCCCATTTAAATCAATGGCAGTATGATACTTAAATACTTTTCAGGTTCTAGGGCAGTGCTTCTCAGCCAGGGTGCTGCATGGGTGTTTCCAGATATCTCTTCACACCTAAAGGCAGGTATTTAAGCTAAGTAAATACATGCAGGCCAAGGTTTGTCTCTATCTGGCTAACCCCCTACCCCCACTGCCTGGCCCCCTGCAAGGAGGTGAGCACTGTAATATATATGCACACATTTATTTTTTTTTTTTTAATTATATGCCACTTAATTCACAAAAAGTTTTGGAGGGATGCCTTGAGTCTAGTGAAGTTGAGAACCACTATTCCAGGGTATGCCATCTAAGGCAGGGGTTGGCAACCTATGGCCTGTGGGCTGTATCTGGCCTATAGATGTGAAGTTTTTTTGCGGGGGGGCTTGTGCTTTGGCAGCCGTCACTTTCCATGCTGTCGCAGGAAGAAGGAACAGTGGTGGGCATTTTCCCTGTGCTGTTGCTGGGCCCTTTACCCTCCTTTCTTTTTGTGACCTGAACTGAGTCTGTCCACCTGCAGCCTTAAAAGGTTACCAACCACTTGGTGCACGTGCACAGAAGTTCAAGATGAGGGAGTTAAAACGCCTTTACTTTATTATGCCCACATCTTATTTACCTTAATCTAGTTAGTTTTTCTTAGACTTTAGATGATAAATTGACAATAAAGGTACCTGGTAAAATATTTGTTCCATGCAGCCTTCTGATGTTACCTTGATATTTGCTATGGTGTAGGCTTCCCCGTATGGTCGTCTAACAGCACTGTCTTCATAGCAACCCTCCATTAATTTTGTAGCCATGCTCAGATTTCTTAAGTAATCTCTTGCCTGATGAACACACATTTTTTCTGTTCCTGGCAGTGTGCTATTCCCTCCTGCGACTGAGGATGCTTCATATTGCCTCAGAGAAAGCAAGAGTTTCCCCTGCCTATAGCATTCTAAAGTGTGTGTAGGAGATCATGGGTTCTAACTCTACAAGTCAATCTGAAATCTTAATGTCCTAAATTGTGTTGCGTTAGTCTTGCTTTTTTGACTCAGTATGGTTTAAAATTCAAGCTTCAGATTTTAGATTTGATTTTTCACGTCTAAACTTATTTAGTGCTTCTACACAGAACATCATCGTTGGTTAATAAATCTAAATTTATTGACTTTTTTCCAACAGAAAATATTTGGAGACATTTCAAAAAGACTTGATTTAAGGCAACGCTTGCATTGTAAAAATTTTACTTGGTATCTAAATAACATTTATCCTGAAGCATATGTGCCAGACCTGAATCCTCCATTATCTGGCTTTGTGAGTACATTCCAATTTTGGTTATTTTCTATTTCATTATGTTGTTCTGTCACTAAAAATTTCCTGATTTATGCTGCTTTAGTTGAAATGATAGCTTTATTCTGTTTAAATTCAGTTATTACATGGCTTGAGGAATTCTTTTGACTAGTGCGGGTGGATTTTTTTTCCTGAAAATCTTCATGTTTGAACATTCTTAGGCCAGTTCCTGACATTTGTCTACACTGATAAATTTTAGGAAAATCTTTTCCATCATTAGCATTTTACTTTCATAGGTCATTTTATTATGCGAGACCTTAGCCCTACTCGGATTGCCAGCACACTAGTAATGTCCGCCTGGTCCTTCTGCCTGGCCTTGAGGCTTATAGGCGTATGCAGCAACTGGCCCATGGCAACTCACCCCGTCCTCTCACAGTGGTGGCGTGGAAGCAAATTATTGTGGTGGGTGGAGGTGAGGCACCTGTTATCTGCTGCCTGCTAGTGATGGTGCCAGGTGCTCAGGGCAGGCTGCTGCAGGCCAGTTGCTGCCTACAGGGCTGGGCTGGGCCAGGCTGGACTCATAGCCTGCAGGCCTGGCTGGGCTGTGGTGGTCCCTTGCCTCCCCCAACCACTGCCTACACCCCTGGCCTGCAGCAGCCCTCCCCACAGGTGGCTGGCTGCTCCTCAGAGGGACTCAGCCCAGGGTGCCATGTCAGTGCCCCCACCGCTGCTGCCTGCAGTGGGGGGATTAACCCTGCCCCCCTTTCCCTCAGGCTCCATTCATGCACCCGGGGCCATGGCAACCAGATGCCAATAGCCTATCAGTGCCAGCACTGCCCCCCCCAGTGCGGGGATTAAACCCCCATTACTGTGGTCTGGCTGCTGCTCCCTTGCCAGACAGACCCTGCAGCACTCAAGCAGGGTTTCCCATCCCCACCACTTTCTTAGCCAGCCAGAGCAGTGATAGTGCTCTGACTATGGAGGAGAGGAGCAGGACCAAACCTTCTTGGCTGGAATAGACAGCCCAGCCCCCAGGGCTGCAGAGCGTGCTGGAATGCAGAAGGACTCTGATTTAACTTAAACCAGCTAGGGGTCTGGAACACAAGTTGCATAAACTGGTTTGACCTCAACCAGTTAAATCTGATACTACATTCAATCAGGTTTATCTCAAACCGGTTTCAGCCATTTTGAAACTGGTTTATGTGTACTGAACTTAAACCAGTTTCTGATCACTTAAACCAGTTTGTGTAACTTCTGTCCCTAACCTAGGAGGCAGCCTGCATGGAACAGCATGGTATGCTTGAGTGTGTCACTGCCAGCTACTGTAAGTTTACAGTACAGACATTGCTTTAGAATCCTTTCAGCTTTTCTATGGATCTTCTATACTGTTTCTTGTAAGTGAATCCTATCTGAAAAATTATCTATGAAGCAATCACATTTTCCACAATTAGCTTAGTCTAAACATACTCCATTGTCTATAAAATACTAGTCTATCAGTATCCACTAGCTTTATATGCATGTGGGAGAAACTAATGTTTATTTTAAAAAAGACTGTGCCTTAATGCTCCACCCATAATGTTACTTACACGTTGTATATTGTGAGCTGTTCAAAGATGGGGACTCTGACTTACTCCATTTGGCAGACAATGAGATACCTAGATAACTGGAATATGAGAATGAAGATTTGACTAGCAAAGATATAAGCACCAATTGAACAAGTTTTGAGAGTCAAATGTCAAGTAAAATACTGAAATTTGTAATTGTTGGCAAGTGTACATATATTTTTGTATAAGTTATCTTAGTAATTCATAGCTCTCCCAACTCCCCTCTCAAATATCGAGTTTTAATGTATTTTTCTAAAAGGAAGTTGTTTTTTCTTTAGTTAAAAAATATAGGTAGACGTACATGTCTGGATGTTGGTGAAAATAACCATGGTGGCAAGCCATTAATTATGTATGCTTGTCATGGACTTGGTGGAAATCAGGTAAAATATATTATATGTATTTCATTTCTTACATAACTGGTATTTACCACTTTGACATGCCTGCATGTAAAACTTTTTCACATCGGGTAATATTAACATACATTTCTTGGTATGCTGGCATTCAGTGTTTTTTAAAACCTGCATTGGGGGTTAGCGGTCATTTGGAGTGACAGGTTAGGTGTCTGCAACCTTGCCACTGTGGGCTGCTGATCCCATGTCCCCACCCCTAATTCCCACTCTGCTCTCTCCCCTTCTCCTTACTGGATGATGTCAATAGCCATGATGAACACCAATGCAGAACAGCTTCTTTAATATGGTTCTGTAAATCAGCATCCACCTCCCCCTTACCTGCTGCCGCCCCATCCCTGTCCTGAATTAGATATTTGCAAGCTGGATCCAAACTCTTTACAGGGTGGATCAGGCCTGTAGGCTACAGGTTGCTGACCTCTGACCTATATTATTTCTGCATGAGAGGATGATAAAATACAGACTGTGTAGAACAGGTTTTATACTGCTGTCCAGATCTTCCAAAGTACTCACACAGATGGTATGTGCAGATAGCTTTGCACATAAACGCTCATGAATAGTGGCAAGTGAGAAACTGCATGCATGTATCAGAGTATTTGCACACTGCATGCAAACATTTGTTGTAATAGAGAAGTATTTTGATATTGTACTGATTGAAAGAAATACCTCAGATAGCTGCTGGTGTCCTTGCCTATAATGACAGTGTCTAGGATAATTACAAGCTGTATTATGCAGGATTCATTTTTTAAGCCTACAGAATTGTTGATACAATTTTATAGTGTAACTGTATTCTCAGGTAGAGTTCAACCTCAATTTCCAACTCTGGGCTACTGAATAAGCTTGCCCCTAGGGCAATGTACAGAGGCAGTTGGATGCAAAATTTTGCTGGACACATGAACAAACTGCACAGAATAGGCTTCTCAGCCACATGATGCCAGTTCACTGTTCTGTCATGCAACCTGCAGTTCTTCCTCACTTGACCTCTCTTCTCTGCTACAGGAACATTTCTTTTCCTCACTTTTTCTTTGTAAGTTTTGACACTTTCTCCTTATTCCTTCCCTTATTGCTTCTTTCTTTGTCACCAGGTCTCATGTTTTCAAGGAGGGTACAAGTGGAAATCCTGTTAGTGGGTGACCAACCTGCCAGGCCTAAGCTACATGCCCTGTTGTGCTTGCAGTCTCACAGTGGGAAGTCAGAGTAGTCTGCCTTAAGCCACTAAAAATCTAGCATTTTGAGAACTATAATACTTAAAATCACTGACTTCTTCCAAGACGCATGGCTCTTGGGAGCAGGGATGTATGTTTGTATAATATCAAGTGGAATGCATTACAGGTATCTGTCAAATACTCGAGGTACCACTGTACTAAAAACAGTACTATAACTGTTCAGTTATCCTTTAAGCAAAATTGATTAATAAAAGGCATCCTAAATGGCAACTTATTTTGGGGCCTGATGGTTTTTATCCTTTTTCTAGTTTTCAGTTAAATCACTGAGTGTTATCTGTGGTATGTACCATTGTAATGCATAGGTGTTTTACACATCTCAATTGAAATCAGAGTAGCCTAGATGCTCAGCTGTAGATCTGTTAGCTGCCTTGCTGTGAGGGGCTTATTTATTGCACAGCAGTTTCCTTTGGAATTTATTTGCTGTGTTACTTGATGGTTTATAATACTATAAAAATACTTTACACAAGTATTAGTCCATATGCTTTGAATTAAAATACCTTTTCATACACAGGCCTATACTGCTACTATATCTACCTTTACCAGCTTATCTTGTATATTTTTGTGTCCTGCAGTAATACTTTGGCTTCGTTAGTATTCTGCAAATATCTACATTTACTATAGATGGTTCTGGTAGCAACTTGCTTTTTAAAGTTCCTTGATGATTTCCATTATATTACCCTCCCTTTGGCTTCTAATAAACTTTCCTAAACTTAAGGGTTTCTGTGTCTCCAGACTGAATTTTCCATTAGAAAATTTCAGTCAAGATGGATCAGCTGATTGAAAACAAAGCTATGGAAAAATGCTTGCTATCTTTAGCCTCTCCTTGGTTTGGAATGGAAACTAATATTTGCGATGTGTGTTGCACTGGAGTGTTCTGGTTGCCATTCTTATGAAAATCCAAATCTGGCCAAGTTATGAATCTCTAAAAATCTCAGTTAAGCATATGCCTAGCAGAGATGTTAGTTTGACAGTTACATTTTCTCGCTATTCAGGAAAATTCCTCTGGTATAATCAATGCTTCTACTGCAAATTCAGCAGTGAGGAGGATGGACGAAGCTGGCCAACTGGGATACAGATGTGTGGAGGTGGAAATGCGTGTAGCACCAGGTGGAAGCCTTGGGAGGAAAGAAGGAAGGACTGGGATGAATAGATCAAGGAAGGGATTTGTGTGGGGAAAACTAATACATAGTCAAGAAGATGGGAGGGATGGGGGGATACTGTGACTGGAACCAAAGATGCCTGGGAAAAGCCAGAGGCAGAAAGTGTCAGGCTTGTAGCCACAGAATTTCAAGAGATGCATTTAATTGTTCTAGTTGCTTAGTTTCTACTGAAATATGTATAAATATATTTTTAAATTATTTAACTAGTATTTTGAATACTCTGCACATCATGAAATTCGACATAACATTCAGAAGGAGCTCTGCCTGCATGCTTCTCAAGGCGCAGTACAGCTTCAGGACTGTAGCTACAAAGGCCAAAAAACATTCACCCCGGGAGAAGAGAAATGGGAGCTTCAACAGGTATTTATCTAAGCCGTTTATGCAATAAATAAATGTACAGGTCTGGTAGCTGAAGAAAAGATTTTTCAACTAGTGTGTGTGTGTGTGTGTGTGTGTGTGTGTGTGTGTGTGTGTGTGTATCACACACACACACACATACAAACAAAATAGTTGAAAAATCTTTTCTTCAGCTACCAAACATATAAAATGTAAATATGTATAAATGTAAATGTACAAGTAAAGGGGTGGCTCTGCTCCGGAGGAAAAAAGCTTAGAGATGTCCTGAGCATTAGGTTACAGTTTTAGATTAAAGTACAGCTCAATCTGATAGCAGTGGTTCCCAACATTTTTAGACCACGGACTGGCAAACCGCAGACTGGAAGTAACCATGGACCAGCATACTGCGGGCCGCCAGCCAACCCTTTTTTATACTCAGTATTATGAGCATAAAAAAGGGTTGGCTGCCAGTCCGCGGTATGTCGGTCACATCCGAACTTCTGGTCCGCCAGTCAACCCTTCGTGATCCGGTACCAGGCCGTGGCCTGGGGGTTGGCGAATCTCTGGCATACAGTAGCAACTGTAAAATGAGAACCTTTGTCCAGGTAATAGTAGAGAAATATCCCCATCACAAAAAGAATAGAAAATGGAGCCAGTTTTGTATGCTTATTCAGCACTTTAGGCAGAAGGTTTTATAGATTAGATGGGTATATAGAACATATTTTCCTCTTGTAGAAGTGGTTCCTTCCTGTCATGACTGGCATAAATTTGTGGAACAGTGTTGGGTAGTTTGCAGTGCCAACTGTTTATACCTATCATAGGAATAAGGCTTCAGTCTCAGTGCTACTACCTGTTAATTCTTAGTCCAAAAATCTAGAATTAAATTAACAAAATTATATATTTTTAAAAAACCTTACTGATTTGCTGTTTTTTTTTTCCTTTCTAGGATCAACTGTTATATAATGCAGCATTAAATATGTGCCTTACAGGAAATGGAGAACATCCAAGCTTGGTATCATGTAATCCATCAGATTTGTTCCAAAAATGGATTTTTGGCCAAAACATTTGAATACTTCATGCAGCAAGAAATATTTTTTTAAAGACTTTAAAACTGTGACCATATATTATACACTACAATTTGTTAAAAATAATGCAAAGCCAGCTGATGTAAAAGATATCAAAACACTTTTTATTTAAAAGAAAAACATAAAACTTCAAAGATCCCTTTAAAGTTGTATTTAGATTATAATAAAAACACCAAAGAATTTTGTGATGTCTCAGCAGTTGGGGAAAAAATGTTTACAATTTGTTGGAAATAATTTCCTTCATATGATTTTGTTAATGTTAACTAACTACTGATTTACAGATGTTGTAGACTCATCTCGTTTGGAGAGAGTGTAGGGTTTTTTTGTTTTGTTCTGTTTTTTTAATTTATGCATTCCCATTTTGTAATTACTTCAGAAAAACTGATCCATAAGATTAGGGGGAAGTTATCTTGCACAGTCTTAAAACTGAGGTGCCTTATAAATGGTGGTTATGGGTTTTTTTTACTACTTGCTTGACTTAATTCTCTGCTGAAATTCACTTTCCCTGTAAATGAATCTGAAGAAAGAAAAACTAAAAATATCCTTAACACATCTTCCTTTAATTTCTCATATACTTCAATGAAATAGAAATATTTGGATTCTAAAAGTAAAGCCAAATAGCCATCAGAGCCTACCCAATTTCTAGTAAATCAGTTTTCCTAGATGTGTCCCTTACTTTAAGATTCAGCAGTTTTTATTGAAACAATATTCAGTTTATGTATGGTTACTTAAATGGAAAATCTGGTTGTCCTTTGGGGCAAATCCAGAAATGGTGCAACTACACTCCCCTTTGGCTGTGCCCTATATGCACAGTGAGCTCCGAAAGCTCACCAGCACTTTATCACAGCTCCTGCAAGAAGCTCTGCATAGGTTGTGAGCTGGTTGGTATGGATTCTGCCCAGAGTCTATGCTTTCAAGCAGCTCTGGAGACTCCTGCTCTTCGTTCTCCCCTTTCCTCTCCTTCACCTGCTGAATTCAGCAGCAGGAGAACTGAGGGGAAGTGAGGCCAGGGACATGCAGTCTCCACTTTAATTAGTCTCCAGAGCCTCCCAGCTGCCTCTGCTCACTGCTCATTCTCTCTTCTCCCTGCTGCTGAATTCAGCATGAGGGGGGAAGGAAAGAGTGAAGAGCTGATTGAAAGCAGGGACTCCAGGCAGAGCTCCAGCGGGAGCTGCTGAGAACTCATTGGTATCCAGAATCGCAGCAAGGGGCTCCAACTACATCCCCTTCCGCTGTATGGCACACGTGCAATGAGCTTTCTTCACTACACTTGTGACCTGCTCTTGAATGAGGTATGGACACAATGCCATTGCTGCAATCCACCCATAGTTGTCCTGATGATAACAAAATCACAAAAGAGCAATAGTAGGTTAATTTTTTACTCTTTCATTGTGTGTCCAACACATTACTGTTTTTTCCAGCATTACATTTTGTCATTTGCAAAATATGAAATGATCTGTTACCATTTTTGTTCATTACCTCTCTTCATTTTTGTAGCATCAACAAAGGTTAATTATTTGTTTGCCTTTTCAAGTGATTTGTATAGTACATTGTGCATATATGTAATTCCTTTTATGTTTCTCTTTCAAATGTTTGACTTAGCTTTTAATCGTTCAGGAGAAGTTTGTTCTTCAACTGTAATATAGAACCTTATAATGAAATGATATAAGTTAACTGAAAAATAAATTAATTCATAAGTATGCTTCAGTAATGTTAGTTTCATAGTTGTTAGGGTCGGAAGGGACCTGAGCAGATCATCAAGTCCGACCCCCTGCCATGGCAGGAAAGAGCACTGGGGACAAACTACTCCGGCAAGGTGTTCATCCATCGTCCTCTTAAAGACCCCCAGGGTAGGAGCTAGCACCATTTCTCATGGAAGTTGGTTCCAGATCCTAGCCGCCTTGACAGTGCAGTAGTGCCTCCTGCAAGAGCACCTCCTGCTTATCCAAGCAAGAGTTTTTGTCTTACAGCTATATATGGAAAAACACGCTTTAACATATGTTAGCTGATTTTAATGTGCATTGAAGTGTCACGCTGGAATTCCAGCATATTGCAGCAGACTTGATTAATCAAGTTTGCTGGAGCAGTCATGCTTCAGCAGCCTCTTGCATCCTGTGTATTAGCATCCCTGCACTTAAAAATGGTGGCAGGAGCACTTGAACTAAAGCTTGTCAAACAAAATTTAGTTCAAATGCCCCCACTGTCATTTTGAAGCACGGGGATGCTGATAAAGGACACATGGCAGTGCTTTAATTAGAGCGGCTCTGAGGGGTGGTACTTCTTATATTATTATCTGAGCAAAATATTAAAGAAGTGCTATAGTGGGTTAGACCAATGGTCCATCTAGCCCAGTATCCTTCTCTGATAATGGCAGAAGTGGATGCTAAAGGGAGAGCGCTCAACTGGATAGATCTGAAGTGGTCTATCCCCTCTCCATTACCCTCCCTAGCATTCACCATTATTGATTTAGAGATGCCAAAGGAAATGCCTCCAGCTGTTTCATTCAACAGCTCTTAATAGATCTATATCCATGAGTTTGTCTGGTCCCTTTTTGAATCTGGCTATGCTATCTGTTTCTACCACCTCCTGTGGAGTGAATTCCACAAGTTAATTAAGCATTCCATTAAAAAGTATTTTCTCTTAGTTTTAAGCGTCTCTCCTCCTAATTTCAGTGGGTGCCCCTTAGTTCTAGTATTCTGGAATTTTGTGAACAGCACTTTCCTGTTCACTCTCTGTACTTTTCATGATATTACAGACCTTTCTATATCCCCTCTCAGCCTTCTCCTTTCCAGACTGAAACATTTTAGCCCTTTTAGTCTTTCCTGGTGTGGTGGGTCTATCCATACCAGACTAACATTCCCATCCTCTGTACCTTTTCTGATTCTACTACTTCCTTTTTGAGATGTGGAGACCAGAATTGCACATAGTATTCAAGATGTGGGCTCACTATGGATAGGAATGGTGGCATGATAATGTTCCCTGTTTTTGTTTTTCTTAATGATGCCCAACATTTTATTGACTTTTTGGGTTGCTGTTGTAAACTTGAGCTGACATTTTAGAGAACTATCTACAATGACTCTAGGATCTCTTTCCTGAGTTGCAATAGCTAGTTCAGAATCCAGAATTCTGTGCATATAGTTGAGGTTATTTTTCCCCCATGTGCAATTGCTTCTTTTTGTCAGCATTGAAATTTATCTGCCATTTTTCTGCCCACTCCACTTAGCTTGGTGAGATCTTTTCTGTAGGTCTTCTCTGTCAGTCTGAAACTTGACTACCTGGAATAATTTGGTATCATCTGCAAACTTGGAGATTTCACTGTGCCTGTTTGCAGACCATTGATGAAAATGTTGACTAATTAAATTATGCCCCTGTGGGACCCCCCACTTCTGACCCCTTTCTCCATCCTGATTAGCGACCATTTTAGCTTTTGCCCTTTGCGTCCTATCTTTTTAACCTCTTTCAGTTCATGAAAGTGTCAGGTTTGACCTAGAAACCACTATACAAAGCCCAAGCAAAAGTTTCTGTTATGTAACTAATGCCCATCTGCAATGATGAGGAGGAGACAGTCTTAGATAAAGGAGGCTTGAAAACAAAAGCAGAATCAGAGGACTAGGGCAAAGAGCTAATTTAAATATTAAAAATCACACCCCTAGGTGGGGAGAAAGTATGCTAATGAAACATACATGTATGTAAATGAGAGACATAGCTAAAACACAGGTATAGAGACATGCTCAGTAAAGAACTCCTTGCGTCACTCCCTTCTAACCAATTAGCAAACAAGAATGCTTATGAAGGTCCAATACTCCTGTATAAAAGATGCTTAGAATTAAGAATCGGTGTGCTTGTTACGTGAAATTATTCCGCTTGCACCTTGTATTGCTAGCAATAAATCTTCTTTATACTTTCACCCCTGGTATCTTTATTGGCTTTTGCATACCGGGCATGATCCCAGACTTGAGCTGGGGCTCAACAAAAGCACCACCCTTCCAGTCCCATAGTAACACAGGTTTGTTTGTTTTGGGTTGGTTTTTTTTGGGGGTGGGGGGGGGAGGAGAGGGGGGCTTTAGGCCTTTGGGGAGGGACCTCGTTAAAAGCTTTTTGAAAGCCCAAATATATTATGTCAGCTGCATCTCCTTATCCATATGCTTGTTGACACCCTCAAAGAACTAAAACTATATTGAACTCACTTCAGGTACATTGCTACTTGCAAATTCCTATTCTGGGAAATAAGACACTAAGAATATGTGAAAATTGTATGTGAATTTTTAAAATCACAAAATCAATCTGGTTCTTCCTGAATAATCTGTAATATTTGCTTAAAATTAATATTTTAGTGAACATCCCTGTCAGTGAGTATTTATTAGAATATTCAGGAGGAATAGAGATTTTAAAAATTCAGAAAACCTGCTCCCTATGGGGTGGGGGGCAGATCTC